TGATGGTTTACTCCCCAATTGGCCGCAACAGCCGGAACTGCCCGGATCTGAAGCCAAGAGCCAGAAGCTTCTTCTGGGTCTCCCACGCAGGTGCAGGGGCCCAAGGACTTGGGCCATCTCCAGGCCATAGCAGAGAGCCAGGGCGTTAACCTGCTGTGCCACAGCGCCGGCCCCACACATGCATCCTTTCAATCTTGGATTTCTCAGCCTCTAGAACCATGAGCCAAATACACTTCTATTGTTTATAAATTACCCAAGCTGTGGTAGTCTGTCATAACAGCACAAAATGGACTAAAGCAAAGATAAATTAAAAATCTTTTTTTTCTGAGAGCTTTACAGTCTAGTAGGGGAATACATGTGTTATATCAATCAAGGAAGGATAGGAAAGAAGAGAGATAAGCAGAAAGACCAGAGCAAACACAAGTTGAATTCTCAGGCTTGAGAGGGAATTTTTATCTAGGGTTATCAGGGAATCCTTTGCAGAAGAACTCAGCATTGAAATATCGGGTATAAAGCCAGGATGAGAAAGAGGTATATGCAAAGGCTTAAAAATAAAAACTATATTTATTGCAAACTTATCTGTAAATCTTCAAGGAACTTTATTGAGTGACCACAAAAGAGCTGAACTTATTGTTATTATGACAATTTTCCTTTAAAACTGCAATATATATTGATAACAAGATACTGCTGCACATACACAAAAGGTTCAGCTGTTTACCAGAGAGATAACGAGGCATTGGTGTTAATGAGCTGTGGGTCAGCTTTCTCTTCACAGCCTTTGTTCCACTTAGCCATGGCCCCATAGGACTTCTGGTATCTGTTTCCTAATCTTGACATGAATGGAGGTTTCAGAGAACAAGTCAGAGGGAGAAAAAGAGTACTTTTTTGGGCTAATATTCTTTACAAGAAAAGGTTTCTTATCAGATACAAACATGAATTTAGTTGGATCAACATCACCCTTGAAACTTATAGATTCATATTTTTTAAAAATCCTATGGCTTTAGATATTTTTGGGGTTTTTTTTGCAATTTTTATCTTAGATATATCTTTTTTTCTATTTCACTCACTCAGCCATAAAAATAGCTCACTTTTAATTTCTTTCAAAGTACTTAGGGGTGGGTGTTTGGCCTAGCAGTTAAGCTGCCAGATAAAATGCCTGAGTTGCACATCAGAGTGTCCAGGGTTCTCAGATGATTTGATTCCTGCCAGGATTGAGTTTCCGGCTCCCAGCTCTGGCTGCAGGCCATTGTGGGCATTTGGGGAGCGAATCAGTGGATAGGAAATCTCTCTCTCTGTTTTGTGCCATTCAAATAAGTAGATAAATAACTACTTAAATAGGAATATGACTTTTTTTTCTTCTACCTACAGCTTTATCTTTTCCACTATTTAAATATCTACTGACAAGTAATATCTTGGTGATCTTTTCAGTAAATTTCCACAGATAATATACAGTCATGATCTAAAAGCAAATATCATGAGGGCCTGAACCACTCTCAACATGAATGTGGAGGGGCTGACACCGTGGCGAAGTGGGTAGGGCTGACGCCTGCAGTGCCAGCAGCCCATTAAGTGTGCTGGTTTGAGTTCTGGCTGCTCCACTTATGATCCAGCTCTCTGCTATGGCCTGGGAAAGCAGTAGAAGATGGCCCAAATCCTTGGGACCCTGCACCTGCGTGGGAGACCCAGAAGAAGCTCCTGGCTCCTGGCTTCAGATCGGCGCAGCTCCGGCCATTGTGGCCAACTGGGGAGTGAACCATCGGATGAAGGACCTTTCTCTCTCTCTCTCTCTCTCTCCCCCCTGCCTCTCCTCTCTCTGTGTAACTTTGACTTTCAAGTAAATAAATAAATCTTTAAAAAAAAAAACAACAACATGAATGTGGAACAGTCACGTATTCTACAAAGAGTAGATGGGTAAGACACAGAAATTTAAATCTCTTATGCTTCCTATCTGTATTCATACGTCAGTTTTTACGTATTTTCATTTCAGGAATTAATTTAATCAGATTAGCTGGTGGCCCTTTTTTTTTTTTTTAATTTATTTATTTGAGAGGTAGAGCTACAGACAGTGAGAGGGAGAGACAGAGAGAGAGGTCTTCCTTCCGTTGGTTCACTCCCCAGATGGCTGCAACGGCCGGAGCTGTGCTGATCCAAAGCCAGGAGCCAGGAGCTTCCTCCGGGTCTCCCACGTGGGTGCAGGGGCCCAAGCACTTGGGCCATCTCCTGCTGCCTTCACAGGTGCATTTGCATAAAGCTGGGTCACAAGCAGAACAGCTAGGACTCAAAATGGTACTCCAATATGGGATGCTGGCATTGCAAGTGGTGGGCATAACACCAGCCTAGGAATCTTTTTTTTTTTAATTAACTTATTTATTTTTATCTGAAAGACACACACATGTGCATACACACACACACACACACACATACAGAGCTTCCATCTGCTGGTTCACTTCCCAAATGCTCACAACAGCCAAGACTGGGACCAGGCCAAAGCCAGGAGGCTAGAACTCAACCCAGGTCTCCCATGAGGAGGGACCCAAGAACTTGACCCATTATCTGCTGCCTCCCAGGGTGCATAATTGCAGGGAGCTGGATCAGAAGCAGAGCTGGGACGCAAACCCAAGGACTCTGATATGGGATACAGGTGTCCCAGTTGGCAACTTAACTGCTGTACTAAATATCCACTATAGGGCCCATTTTAAAGCATGGGTGAGTTTACTCCACATTTTTTAGAAATCGTGTTATACAAGATACTTGACAATAGTATCTGGTGATGTATTATGGAGTCTGTCTGTTTCTTTATAGACTGAATTTTCTAGAGTTTGTAAAAGCTGATCTTATTAACTTATTTAAAAACAGCCTAGACAACTACTCCCATTATACTTTGAAGATGGTCACTGGTTTGACTAGACATAGCACAAATGTTACCTACTCATTGAGTTGTTCCTGCTTTGTTTCATCCAGGAACACTTCTGTGGAAAAGATCAAGCCTATTGCAATGGCTCCCTTGAGCTCCTGGAGTCCAGAGATCTCTGTGGGGAAGCTCATTTGCACCCCTGTCTTGGCCAGCAGGAAGATGTTGACTTCAGGAGGCCACACTGTGTAGGGGCAAAGCTAACATTTAGTGAGAAAAGCACAAATAGACCAGTCCATTGGCTCAAGAGTTTTTGTAATTCAGATTCAGCCATTTGAGTCTACCAATGGGCTTACATCTCCATTAAACTATGGTTTTTTTCAAGGTGGTTTTCTCATTAAATATCAGAAAAACACTAAAAATAGAGTAAGGTATCTTAAACATGAAGTAGAATCTCTGGGAATGGAGAATAAGTAAATAGTTTTACCACCATAAAATCACCAAGTGAGAGTCTTAGAAGATTCAATGTATACAGAAAATCCACATGGATTTTTTTTCCCCCATGGTCTCAAAATTTCATGGCTTAGAATGCTGAGATCTGTAAGAATTTTGATGGAATTAAGAATTCAGGGGTGGGTATGTGGCCTAGTGGTTAAGACCCATGACCCATATCAGAGTACCTGGGTTTGATTTTCAGCTTTAGCTCCTAATTCCAATTCCCTGCTAATGTGGAACCTGAGAGGCAGTGGTGATGGCTCAAGTAGCTGGATTCCTAACACCTAAGTTAGGAGTTGGAGACCTGGATTAGTCTATTCTCTACACAATAGCCACCATGATCCTGGTACAACCTGGGATCAGATCCTGTCACTTCCCAGCTCAAAGAACAATCACAAGTCCACCATTTAACTCTGAATAGAAGCTCCTTACAGTGACCCACAAGGCCCCTCAGCATCTGTCCTACCTTATCTTTCTTACATATTCTTTGCCTATTGTCTCTGTCATTTCCCCATTCTCTCACATGCGTGTCAATGCTATTCCTTGCTGTAAGGCCTAAACTGGCTGATTCTGACACCTACTGTACCTATCACCCAGATAATTTTAACACTAGCTCCCTCGGCTACTTCAGGTCTTTGCTCAGGTTTTGTCTTCTGAATGAGGCCAGACTTCCCTATTTAAAATTACAACCTGCACCCCCATGCTGCATAATTAACTCTCTTACCCTACTTTTTTCTAGTTTTAAAAATTAATTTTAGGGCTGGCGCCATGGCTCACTTGACTAATCCTCCACCTGCGCTGGCACCCCGGGTTCTAGTCCCAGCTGCTCCTCTTCCACTCCAGCTCTCTGCTGTGGCCCGGGAGGGCAGTGGAGGATGGCCCAAGTGCTTGGGCTCTGCACCTGCATGGGAGACCGGGAGGAAGTACCCAGCTCCTGGCTTCGGATCGGCGCAGTGCCAGCCATGGTGGCCATTGGGGGAGTGAACCAACGGAAGGAAGACCTCTCTCTCTTTCTCTCTCTCACTGTCTATAACTCTCTCTCCGTTTCTCTCTCTCTCACTGTCTAACTCTGCTTGGCCAAAAAAAAAATTAATTTTATTTATTTGAAAGGAAGAGTTAGAGAAAGAGAGAGAGAGAGAGAGAGAGAGAGATCGATCTTCCATCTGCTGATTCACTCCCCAAATAGCTTCAACAGACCAGGCTGGGCCAGGCTGAAGGCAGGAGCCTGCAGCACAGTCAGGTCCCCCAAGTGGGTGGCAGGGGCCCAAGTACTTGGGCCATCTTCTTCTGCTTTCCCACGCACATTAGCAGGAGCTTGATTGGAAGTAGAGCAGCTAGAATTAGATCCAGTATTCATATGGGATGCTGGTGTTGCAGGTAGTGGCTTAACCTGCTGTGCCACAGTGCTATCTCCCCTCCCCAATCTTTTATGGCTTTCACAACTCTTCTAGCATAATACATAATTCAATTTAAATCAATATAATAAAATCAGTAATTTCCCCCGAAGCTCCTAGAGCAGGGCTCAGCACCCCAAGGCACTTAGTAAATATTTGTGAAATTGTTTGTCATAAAACAGCCACTAAGTAAACATCTTACATAATTATCTCTCCTCAATGTCACAGCTTGAATAATAATCGCTTTTCTGATTTTATAGGTGAAGAAACTTGACTGGCTAACTAGTTTATTTGAAGTCACAAGCCTACCTGCAAGTAAGCAAAGACTGACCCCTGAAACCACACTCATCCCATTATGTTAGAACAATCAGAAATGGATATGCAGGTCAACACTAATTTCATGCCAACAAAGGAGGCTGGGACAGAAGGAAGTAGATTTCTTTCATAGCTCCTTTTGAAATCATACTTGGTGGAAGATGAAACAAGTTTTTAAATTCCCCTCAGTCCCTACTGTAGGTATCACTTAGAGTCCCTTAGAAATCTCTGTCTGATTCATTTTTTGAAAAGATTTATTTATTTGACAAGCAGGGTGATTCGGGGGGAGAGAGAAAGAGAGAGAGAGCGAGAGAGAGAGAGAATACACTTTGCTTCTATCCACAGGTTCACTCTCTAAATGGCTGCAACAGCCAGGGCTGGTCCAAACTGAAACCAGGAGCCTGAAACTTCATTTAGGTCTCCCACGTAGGTAGCAGGGTCCCAAGTACTTGGCCCATTATCTGCTGTCTTCCCAGGCTAATTAGAAGGTAGATGGATTGGAAATGGAGAGGACAGGTCTTGAACTGCTTCCTTATATGGGATACTGGCATTGCAAGCAGTGGTTTAACCCACTGTGCCACAACAACAGCCCCTCTATGTCTGATTCTATACGGTGAATTAGAGTCTACTAGGGCCCTGTTTGGCATTTATGAATACCCTCAGATTTTCTCTCCTAGAACTTGTCCCTTCCACCTATTGTTCCCTGCTTGAAAACTTGGTTATTTGTGTGCTCAATAGCTTCTCCTCAAAAAGGGTAAATAAAAAGGAAGCACAACTCAAAAGTATACCTTGATGTTTCAAGAAAAATCTGGATGCAGTATAGTCAAGGGAAATATCTGGCTACAACTGGCATCAGGTACCCATGGAAAGGGCAGGGACTTGGGTAGGATGGGGGTTCAAATCATTACTCTGCTGAAATTCATTCATGGGCAGAGATTAAAAACACTTGCCTGGAGTGGGTGCTATGGTACAGCAGATTAAACCACTGCTTTGGATGCCTAGATCCAATATGTGATGCCAGTTCAAGTCCTGGCTGCTCCACTTTCAATCCAGCTTCCTATTATTGCATCTGGAGGCAACATTAGATGGCTCGAATACTTATGTCCCTGCCACCCACATAGGAGACCTGAAAGGACTTCTGGGCTTCTGGCTTTGGCCTGGCCTACCCCTAGCTATTGTGGGCATTTGGGGAGTGAACCAACAGATAAAAGTGTTATCTTTCTCTGACAATCTGCCTTTCAAAATAAAAAACAAAAAAGAAAAAGAAAAAAACTTTCCTAATGGTGGCATAGTGGTCATGAGTACCATTTTCCCTTTAATTCCTAATAATATTTGTTGACAATTAGTATAAAACACTGATCTTGTCATTCTGAGAAGTTTTGTATGTTTTAATTGTACACTTTTTTTCTTACTATGACCAGGAATAGGGGAATTAAGAATATGCCTTCCAGAATTTATGTTATAACCCATGGCTCAGAATATAATTGATAACCAATCTGTGCTGAAACCACATTGACACTGAACAGTCCATTGTTCCTAGGACTCACTAAGGTCAGCCAAGCCATGAGTACATGGGAGCATAAATCTCCACTGTTTCCACTGTAACACTGGACACCTAACTACAAAGCAGAGACTAAAAATAGACCAAGTCTAGTGCTTGCATACACTACACAGAGGTACATTTCCAACTCCCCGAGTCTTAATCAACAATCCTGCTCATAACCCCAGGAGAGATTTTTCATTTAGTAGGAGAAAGTCATTTTATTTTGAATACGCTAAAATACAACCTAAAGGAATTACGAAGACTTTGAAGTGTTCAAAGCATATTATCTGCACCTGTTAGTTCTAGGACTAAAAAAAGACAGACTAAAATTCCTCTGGGATTAGGTTGGCTTTCTTTGTCTTTGAAATTTCATTGTACAAGTGAAAAAAAGCTATTATTGGCATTTTCTTTCCCTTTTTGTTTCTAGGTCAACATGTTTCTACCAAGAACTTTGAGTTGTTCAAACATAACAAGCCATTAACTACCAAACTAACCACATAAGAAGGAACAAAATTTGAAGTTTATTATAGAAAAATAATTATGGTTCTATTCTCAATAGAAATTTATTATTGAAGACTACAGTAAAAATGGTTAAGTCTTCTAAATATTATATAGAATGAATGTTTTCTAAATAAAAATGTTCAAGGATTCACATATGCTCAAGGATTCAATTACTAATGTTTGATATATCAGATTATGAATGAATAAGATTATTCATTTAAAAGAACTATTTGTATAAAATTAAAATAATTTTAACATAAAATTTAACAATAGAACTGGAGAAATAAAGCCCATTTAAAAAATAAGCTCATAAAACTCTACAGAGTTTCTACAGCATCAGGGAAATGAAATAACTACATAAGAGGCTATGTTAACAACTGCTTGGTAATGAAACTACCCATCTTGTATAGACTTAGCACAAAGAGTCCAGGAAAATGGATATTTCAACTGCAGTCCTCCTCTGTTACACAACAGCTGCTTTCCTAAATGAGGTTCTTAAACATGTCTGTGGAACATTTTTCAGGGGAACAAAATGACGCTGTCACATTCACATGGTGTTCATTCCTTCCAGTTTTTCTTATGAAGGCATTTGATTTGAGGCAAGTGTTAAAAGAAATAATTTTACCCCAGTGACAATATTTCCATATTTGCAGCCAACATAAGAGGCTTATGAATATCCCATGGCAGAGTATGACCTATGAAAGTGAGATTGCAAAATGATCCCATTCCATTTAAGTGGAATTTCAGAACGTTGCCATCATACATTCCAGGTAAACCCCAGCAGATACTCGCTCTGTTACTCAACCTAACAGAAGTCCCAAGAGGTCATGGTCACTGACAAAATGACAGCGTACTTCAGGTGCCGGTCAAACCCGACAGGGATTTAGAAATCTCTGCTCTCCAAAACCTTCTTCAATTTTACTCATACAAACTACCCTATTATTTCCTCAACTTTCTAGAGTTCTAAAGATAAACACTTTCTCCAATTATCCTTCCAGGTATTTTATGGACTTCAATTATATAAGGCTTAAAATTATGTTTATAACAAAAAATGCAACTTACACCAGATGCTTTGGAGAGGATTAGAGGCGGCAGGTGTCTATTTACCGCATAGCCCTGAAATATCTACATTTTGAAGATCAGCAATTCTCTTCTCTCTATGGACTACAGATAGATTTGTAATAAAAATCATATGTATCATGCAAGTGTTTCTTAAATCCCCATGAAACATTGCATTCTGAATATTGAGAAAATACAAGTTTGCTTGGTCTGATAAAGCAGCTATCTGCCCAACATTCATTAGGGTGAGACAACAGAACAGATAAACCAACTGCCACATTCACAGGGAGAGACACTTCTCCCAGGGACACTGTTGCTGGGAAGGGTCACGGTAACCTTCTTTTAGGGATTACAGACTCACTGAGAAACTTTTTTCTAGGAGAAACATCTTGCCCTTGCCTGAAGGGCTTTAGTTGCTTGTTGACACAGAGAAGCAGCCTCAATACCCACCCTAGGTGAAGAGTTCCAGAAAGGAGTTTCTGGATACAACAGCCGACATTTATCTTAACTTTATTATTCCCCCAAAAATGGGACCCTGGGTTTACTTTGCAGACCAGACCTGCATATAAACTTCACTATTCCTAGAATCCCAAAATAACTTTCCCATTCCTAGTATATTGGGTCCCTCATTGCCTTGTGCTGAGAAATCTGCCTTTGTTGCAGTACAGGTTTGTTCCTATTATTTTTAGGCTGACTGGGACAGAGCCATGCTTTCACAGAACATACCAGCTAAAGAAGATGCTGCTGCTTGAATAATAGCTCAGAATTTGGGGTACTGGCTTTCAGATACTGAAAAACAGAATATATTTCAGCTGCAGCTTAATCCCCTGTGACCTGTGAATTTTAAATTCTATACTGGCTTCCTGTCTAAGCAGAAACATTCTGAGAGCCAGGAAACCTGCTGTGAGTGTTGAAATGATATTATCTGGCTCTACTGCTGCTAAAGTTCCCTATGGCAGAACTTCCCTGTTTCTAGAAACATCACCATGGGCCACTCAAGCAAGACTCTCAGTGTGACTACGAAGCTCTGTGCCAGTCTTGGAGACAATTAAGGGAATTATGTCGACAAAGGTCTCAGGTCTCCCAAATCATGGTCTCTCTCCACACCTGGTTTAAACAAAAGGCTGCCATTTTTTTTAAAAGGAAAAAGTGATATGGGAGGGTTATTCAGAGCACACAACTTTTCCTTGAGGAAGGCAAGCTGTTTTTCACGTACCCGTGGGAGTAGCCATAGTCGTAGGCTGAGGCCGCCTTGCGACTGACTTGAGATGCAAGGGAGTACTGTTCAGCTCCAAGACTGTAGGCCTGAGAGGCCTGCTGCTGGTAGGCGGCAGACGCCTGACTGAAGGCCTCTGCTTCCTGGCGGTGTGCAGCAGAGGAGCGGCTGCTGTAGGCTGTGGAACCATGGGTATAGATGGCAGAACGCTTCTTCTCCTGCTGGTACTGGCTTGTAGTGGTGCGCAGGTCCTTGTGGCGGTAGCTGTGATCATAGTGCGCATGGGACTGCTGATAAAATGGCAAAGACATCATGTGCCCCTGGATGGAAGCAGGCCACCTACAGGAAGGCAAGAATTTTTGAGTGACTCACCAAGGAGCAAATTCTACAGAAAACATCATCTAAACCAATGTGTAAAAAGTAATAATCTTGTGTTTTCCAAAGAGTGGACAGAAAAGGATGCAAAGTTTGGCTTAACTGGTAATTCAATCAGATCTCTGCTTCACAGCACAGATGTGGTAGCTTTGGGAGCCATAAGGAGGGAAGGTCTGTACTTCCGGGGAAGAGAAGTCCTTGTCAAGGTCCCCGCGGGTGCCTAAAGGTCAACCAATGAAGATCTCTGACGCGCAACTTCCCCAGCCCCCATTCTGTTGCTCTGTTGGGACCGGTGAACCTCGCCCGGGTGCAGAACCCCAATAAAAGCCTGTGAATTAATTGAATTGTCTGCCTGGGAAGATTTGCTACACACCGGACACCTTGCAAGATGTCCCCACCTTATCACTGTGACTCCTTTTTTCTTCATATCTAGGAGGCCTTGACAACGTTTCCCTATCCTGACTATTGTGCTTTCTTCCCTAAAGCCCTTAGTATTATGGCATTTCATTCTGACAGGGGATTTCATCTGGGAAAATATATAATGAGAGGGAGTAGTATGATGTTTGTTCAACAAATTAGTGAGCCCTGACCATGAACCTGTAACTATTCCAGCACAAGAAATACAATGGTGAACAAAAACAAACAAAATTCCTGCTCTAATGGCTTTATATAGGGCTTATATTCTATTATAGGAGATAGACAATAGAGAAAACAAGTAAGTAAAGTAAAAGATATACTATGATGTGCTAAATGCTATTGAGAAAACTAATGAAGCAGGAAAGAAAGATGGTTGTAATTTTATTTTATTTTTTAAGGATTTATTTATTTATTTGAAAGTCAGAGTTACACAGAGAGAGGAGAGGCAGAGAGAGAGAGAGAGGTCTTCCATCTGATGGTTCACCTCCCAGATGGCTGCAACGGCCAGAGCGGTGCCGATCTGAAGCCAGGAGCCAGGAGCTTTCCCCCCTGGGTCTCCCAGGGGGTCTCCCACGTGGGTGCAGGGGCCCAAGGACCTGGGTCATCTTGTACCGTTTTCCCAGGCCATAGCAGAGAGCCTGATTAGAAGAGGAGCAGCCGGGACTAGAACTGGTGCCCCTATGGGATGTTGGCGCTTCAGGCTAGGGAGTTAACCTGCTGCACCACAGTGCCGGCCCCAGATGGTTATAATTTTAAACAGCCTTATCAGGGCTGTCTTCACTGCAAAGTGACATCTGAGCTTGAGAATATCTGGTGGGAGAGTGTTCCAGTTGGAAGATCAGTGCAAAGGCACTGGGGAATGAGCATACCTACTGTGCTTCAGGAATAGTAATCAGGTGAGTGAGGCTGCTGGGGGTTGTAGGAAGTGGGGAAGGAGAGGTAAGGAACACAGGCAGCAGGAGGGGAAGGGAAGACAGTGTAGAGTCCTACAGGTGACAGTAGGGCTTTTATTCTAAAAGGGAAGACATGCCATGCAGAAGCTCTGAGCTGAGAATCACTCTCACTGATGGCTGAGGAATAGATTACTGAGGGGCGAGAGGGAAAATCAGGAGACCAAGTAGAGGACTGTTATGGATGGGCTATTCCCCACCCCCGCCACCCAACTCCAATTTATATGCTGAACCCCTAACCTCCAGGTCCTCAGATGGCAATTGCATGAAAATTTGGAGATAGTGTCCTTAATAAGGAAATTAAGTTAAAGCAAAGTTGTTAGGGTAGACCCTGATCCAATATGACTGGTGTCTCTATAAGAAAGGTAGCAGACAGATCTGTTAAGAACGTGAAGATGTATAAAGCATCTACAAGTTAGGAAGAAGCCTCAGAAAAATCAGCCCTACTGACACTTTGGTCTCAGGTTTCTTCAGAATTGTAAGGAAATGCATTTCTCTTGTTTCAGCCACCAGCCTGTGGTACTTTGTTATGGTGACCCTATCAGACTAAGGCAAAGGCCATGACAACAAGTCCAGGGTAGAAAGGACAGCAGGGAAGGTGTGAGAAATGGTCAGACTCTGCAAAAGTTTTGAATGGTATGAGATGCCAGACAGACCTTCACGTGGAGATGCTAAATGGGAAGCTAAATATGTGACTTTGGAGTACCTGGGGAGAGGCTGGGGGGTGGGGGGGAGGATGGTTCAGAGGCACTACATTTGGAAGTCAACAGCAGGTAGGTGGTAGTAAAAGTCACCCACAATGGGAATGATTATCAGTGGAAAAGAAAGTCCTAGAACTGAACCTAATGTTATATAAAAGTTCTCTCAAATCTCATAAACACTTCAAAAAAGGCATAGTCTCAAAATAGGGGGAAAAAATTGTTCCACCAGAAATTTGAAGGCTTCTAATCTTCGTACAAAAAGACGTGAGAGTGCAGTCTCCAGTATGGTGGTCAGCACTGGGAACTTAAGCTAACAACTCTACTGAAAGCCAGAGATAGGTTTGCTTATTATAGGGAGGGGAGACTTCATATTGCACTAGCTTTCTTGAATAGACGGTCCACTGACAGGAGGCTTAACAGCCACATACACAATCTTGGTCAAAGCAATAGTTTTCTGAAAGTCCCCCTCCCCAAATGTTTAATGCTTTTGTACATGTTCTGAAATGTTATTTTTAAATTTTGTAAGTAAAATCAGTTTTGAAGTAATCAACTTTTTCCAAGCTTTTTTAAAATTCCAAATGAGGACTGAATCCTTTCTAAACTTGCCCTATTTAAGTTCAAAATTACTTTTTATTTAAGCTATTTTAAGAGTAAGCATGTATTCCTTAGAAGAGAAAATCTAGTAAACCTCACTCCAGAAATATTTACTTTAGGGCTCATGGAAGGTATCAGTCTACCTGACATTTCCTAAGAGGAAAAAAATAGCTACTAGCAAGCAACCTGGCTTCGACCTTTAAATAGACTGCTATTTTCTGTTAGTGAATAATATAAATATAAATATAAAAGAATAATTATCACATGCAATGAATAATTACTAGGTACATTTTGATAATACAAAAGATTATACTATATTAATATAGAATTATGTGTTAGGCAGTTATAAAGAGATAAGTTTCAGTAATGATACATACTACATTGTAATCTGGAAAATGTTATTTAAATGACTTTAAGATAAATAATAAAGGGTCTTCTTATATATTATAAGATAAAGTCACACCCAGATTATTTGAAATAATAACAAACAAAACAAAATCCAAGCCTCAATTCTATATCCCATTCTCTTATTTTTCCCATATATATTTATGTTAATAATATTTAATATTCCACTCACATAACAGGAAGTCTTCAGAATGTTCATGGAAAATGCATGTTACAAAAAAAACTATGCATGGATTTCAAAAACTTCTGCATCAAAATAAATTTATCTTTCAATTCCATTTTTCCCACAAACTTTTGAAGTCCTCTCATAAAATAAGTAAACAGGGTTTGACTTTCAGTCAACAGAGCTGTAGCTCTGACCTCTGGAACAAAGGTAAACTGATCTCCTCTTTGTCAAGTAAGCAAGGATTATCCACAGTACAGGAGAGGGAGAGTCTGTTGGGAAGAAAGCTGGTTTTGTTGTCTTCTGTTCCTTTAAGGCCTAAATTTTCTTCCTGAAAACACTTTGGGACCTTAGAAAGAAATACAAACTCTGTAGTCATAAATCTGACATGAAGCTTTTATATGGTCATTACAGGCCAAAAGCTGATGAAAATTATTAACTTTCAGATCATTAGATGAGGATCTATATTACCTCTGAAAAATTACATAAACATTTTTAGGATAGGAATATCATAATGCACCCTTAATGTTTATCTACACTGCATTGTCATGGCAAAAGTCACTAAACTAGTGACTTCAGAGTTAATTTGCCTCTTTTGGTCTAATTTGTAATCAGAGAACAATGTAGGTACATGGAGGTACAATGTAGGTACACAGTATTTCCAGTCCCTTACGCATTCCAGATTTCAAGTAAACCACATTTCATTGTGAGATAAATATGATCTTATAGTCCCAGGAACAGCAGTTTAATTTCAAAAGAATACAGTGATATGACAGAATAGCTTTGCCAGTCCCAACTGGCACCCTGCTGCTCTGGTTTCCCTCCCTGGGGCTTCACTTTCCTGTTTCTGTTATACTGACATCTCTGAGAAAACTGCTGACTCAGAAGATAGAAAGAAACCACACATGCGTGCTGTTATACTCATAAACTACCAAGTGTATTCTCAGCCCCAGGATCACACTTACCAGTTTCCAAAGTGCGATAGAGGTGGAAATGTTCTGATGCAGTGGAGGAGCAGGGAGATAGAATGAAACCCCACCTAATGAATCCAAGAAAAAGTTCAGAGGCAGGGCTAAAGACAGGACCCTGGGGCCAGTTCAAAAATAATGCATGTGGTCAGGCAGCAGAATGTCAGAGCCACACAGCTAGCCTTTTATGGCCAAGGAGGCAGATAAATATAGCAGCAAATGGGGAGGGTAGTCCCAAACCAGGAGGAGGAGAGAGGCAGAGCTAGGTAGCTGCCTCGGCAGTGTAATCATATTAATGCCAAAGAATGGGTCTGGCCTGATTATCCAAACATAAGGTTTTTATTTGGCTATGAGAGCTATCTTCAATATCACTTTATCACTGCATATTTAAAAGTGTGATGGAAAGAGTAACTGTATTGAGAGCTAAAAATAGGTGTAGTAATTTGATCCTCAAATGGACTTCACGGAATTTTAATGCCAAGATATGGTTCTGGGCATGCTGCTAGTAACACATGTACAATACATTTTGGTACAACAACAACAAAAAAGAACTAGAGGCAAAACAAGTAACCAATGTGGTCACAGTTTTGACCTGAAAATTCATAGTCATTGTTTTTTTCTCATTTCAGGAAAATTTACAAAGTCAGTCACTGGTTCCAGACTGCATATTTCATTACCTGCTCATTTAGTAAAGCCTTTGGGCAACAACTCCATTCTCTGTCTTTCCTTACCCAGCCTGCACTGTGGCCTGGATTCCATGTCCACT